TAGCTTGATTTTGTACAGCGCTTCATCAATTTATCACATAATTTTATATTATATAAATTTATTTATTGTTTTTCTTGTGACATGAAAATTGTAACAAACAATAATAACATTTATTCCCAGCGGCTAATATTTGATTAGTGTGTTTGTATGTGTGTGTGTGTGTGTGAATGTTTGTGTGTGTGTGAATGTTTGTGTGTATGTGTGTGTAATGTTGTGTATATATATAAGTGAAAGTCTTTTTGTGTATGTGCGTGCGGTATGTATGTTTGGGTTTGTTTGCAATGTATGTGTGTTTGTGTGTGTTTGTGTGTGTGTCCCATCCCAATATATGAGCCTTCAATGAATGATTGGCTTATTAAATTGTTTATGTTTCGCAGTCAGTTTAAGAAAACCATCAGGTTGATGATTAGAATGATGACGATGTACGACGTAGGTATGTATGTTTGTTTGTTTGTTTGTATGTATGTATGTATGTATGTATGTATGTATGGCAAGTACAATGTCAATGACAATGTCAGTAATGGCATTAATAAAGATAGCAACGAAAATATATGTATGTATGTAAGTATGTATGTATGCATGTATGTATGCATGTATGTATGTATGAATGTATGTATGTATGTATGTATGTATGTATGTATGTATGTATGTATGTATGTATGTATGTATGTATGTATGTATGTATGTATGTATGTATGTATGTATGTATGTATGTATATATGTATGTATGTATGTATGTATGTATGTATGTATGTATGTATGTATGTATGTATGTATGTATGTATGTATATGTGTATGTATGAACGTGTGTATGTATGACTCCTACTTAAAAGATTGAGCTATAACCCGCGATAAGCTAAACATCCATAATGTTTGACAGAATACTTTGTTTTTAGTTCTTCAATTTTTCATGTACACACACAAACATAAACACATGTACATAAATATACACAAATACACGCACAAACATACACACATGTACATACATATACACACATACATACAAACAAAACATTTGTACATACAAACATACATACATACATACGAAACGAAATTTTATTTGTTTTCCAAAATAGCAAAATTTAAAGAGATCATGATGACCATAATAGAATTTGTATAATTTAATAGAACATACTATAGAATTTTTATACATACATACATACATACACACAAACATACATACATACATACAAACATAAACGTTCATACACACATATATATACACACACATACCACAAACATACATAATAATATTGTTTCTTAAACAATCTGCTAGGCAATTAAATGAATAATGATACACCATTGCTTATATATGTGTATGTATGTGTGTGTATGTATGTGTGTGTATGTATGTATGTGTGTTTGTAACAGATGGCCCAGGAGGGAAGCGGCAGAGGGGTGTGGGTCTGTGGAATGTGTGATTGTGGATGTTTGCCTGGAATTGGACTTTTGACCACATGAAGTCGCATCAATGTCACAGTTTCTCGTTCGCGAAGATGCAGTCCATGCTTATGTGTAATATATTTATATGTGTGTGTGTATGTGTTTGTAGTTTGTGTGTGTAAATAAAAGTGGCAAAATTTTTTCCTTATGTTTGCCTAAACAGAAAACTAACAGCCTTATATATTGCTAGCGCAACAACACATCTACTGTATGATAAAAACATCCTTAGTTTATAACTTTTGTCACGTTTGTGTTCGTGTGTGTGTGTTTGCTTGTGTGTGTGTGTGTTTGCGTGTGTGTGTGTATGTTTGCGTGTGTGTGTGGAGTGTGTGGTTGCGTGTGTGTATTGTACGTATATAATACATTACATTAAGGTAATACATTTATCTATTTTTTTTATTGTTTATATACGGACAAGCAAACTAACATAAAAACACAACTTTACCAATAAAAACACACACGCACACAAACAAACAAACCCACATACACACACAGACAATCAAACAAACACCCACAAACAAACAAACACACACACACAAACAGACAAACCCATATACACACACACACAAACATACAAACAGACAAACACACATACATACATACACACAGACAATCAAACAAGCACCCACAAACAAGCAAACAGACATACACACACACACACAAACAAACAAACCAGCAAACACACACATACACAAACACACGCAAATATTATCCGGTCCGTCTATTCATTTAATTTACACAGTGCGAGAAATCTAGTTACAGGGAAACCTTCGTGTTGGATTCAATGTTTCCCTATACACTGTCCATCTCTATAATAATAATAATATTAGTAATAATAATATTAGTAATAATAATATTAGTAATAATAATATTAATAATAATAATAATAATAATAATAATAATGATGATAATAATAATGATGATAATGATAATAATAATGATAATAATAATGATAATGATAATGATAATGTGAACATATTTTATTTATCCAATCGGCACAATGAAACTATAAGATATTAAGAAAATAAATTGTAACTAAAATGTTAAAATGAATAGAATAAAAATAATCAATAGAATAAAAATAATCAAATGTACGATCCACCCATCCTCATTGCCAATGGCAAGTGCATGGGTGTAAGTTATATTTAAAATAGCATTAGGCAATGTTTCTGTCGCAAAAAATTCCATATGACGAGCTAATAACACTGTTTATTAATTTAAAGTTAAACGGTTTTGACCATTTAAATTTAATTTAATAATAATAGCAATAATAACAGTAATAATAATAGAAGTTAATTATTTATAATAATAATAATAATAAACATCACAAGTAGCCTAGTTAATTAAGTTGAATCAGGATAGCTATTATATTATAAGTGGATAAATGACTGTTTCCAATTGTTGTACAGCCATAAAGGAAAGATTAATTTATTTATAAATGTGATGTGGTTTGACGTATTTCGATGAAATACATGCTTACACACACGCACGCACGCACACATACACACATATATACACATATATTCACACAAATATTTGAAATTTTATGTTTTTTTATCTTTATATACACATACATAAGCATACATACGCCTACGTTCATACATACATACGTACGTACGTACGTACGTACGTACGTACGTACGTACATACATACATACATACATACATACATACATACATACATACATACATACATACATACATACATACATACATACATACATACATACATACATACATACATACATACATACATACATACATACATACATACATACATACATACATACATACATACATACATACATACATACATACATACATACATACATACATACATACATACATACATACATACATATAAAGAGAAAGGGATTTTCAATTTTCCAGTTCTCCATCGATTTTCCTCCGCTTATTTTTGAATTATTATTAATAACTTTAATTAAATAATAATTATAATACAATTATTATTAATTATAGTTTTATAAATATTAATAAATAAATCAAAACAATATTTATTATCATAAAATTAATAATTACAAGCCACATTTTTTAGTAACTTCAACCGAACGTCAGTGCTAAGTAATACAATTCAATTTTGTTGATTGAGTTATTTATAAATATTGTTTGATAAATAATTTTAAAACTATATAAAATAAATAATAATGATAATAGTAGCTGTAGCAGTAGTGGTTGTGGTGGCGAGTAGTAGTAGTAGGAGTGGTAGTAGTAGTAGTATTTTTATTACTTCTGCCCATATTTACACAAATACAAACACATATACGTATTCGGGTTTTACTGTTTGAATATTATCATCTTTCTCTTTCTCTCTCTTCTCTTTTTTTCTCTCTTTCTCTCTCTTTCTTTCTTTCTCTCTCTCTCTGTCTCTCTGTGTGCTTGTTTGTGTGTGTGAGTGTGTGTGTAATAAATATATTTTCAATGTTTCAATGTAACACTTAAATAGAATTTATTAATTAATAAAGAATAATTTTATTTTATTTTAAAATTCAGTCGACACTTCTTGTCTAAGCCCCGCCTTTGTGCGCGCGTGTGTCCGTGTGGGTGTCTTAAAAAAGGACAGAAACAGTGACGGGCAGACGAAAAATTTTGAAATTTCGTTACGCTGCAGGTTTGTCTGGTTGAGTTTTTTTTGCGCGATTACGTTCTTATGTTATGTAACAAAAGTTAGGTGTGTGTCTGTGTGTGTTTGTGTGTGTGTGTGTGTGTGTGTGTGTGTGTGTGTGTGTGTGTGTGTGTGTGTGTGTGTGTGTGTGTGTGTGTGTGTATGTGTATTAGTGTGTGTGAAAGTGAGTGAATGTCTGTTGTGTTTTGTGTATTTTTCGAGCTTTTTTCGATAATTAAATTCATTTTCGATTCAAAAATGGCAAATTGTAAGGTAGAAATGTTATTGCAATTATACATTTTAAGATAATTTTCACATAAATTATAAAACATAAAACAACTCAAAAATCTATAAAAAAAAACTTGTTTTTAAATAAGCTTTACCCGAAACAAAAAAAATTAATAAAAGTAAAAAGCTGCAAGCGTTAAATTAGCGTTAATATTTGATTTAACATTAATAAGGATGTTCCAATCTGTCGGTAATGTCCGTATAACGACCTTTAAACGATCAAACTGTCGGCAAGTCGAGTAATTATGGTCGGTATCGAGTCAGAAATGGTAATGTTCTCGCGACCAACCGAACTATTGAATATTTTTCCGCAATGATTGAAATAAATAATGCATTAGTATCCCGTTTAGTGTTTGTTCGACTAAGCATCATCCATCCATTCATCCAACCATTTATCCATTCATTCTTTTGTTCATAAATACATACATACAATCATTCATTCGTTCATTCATTTGTTCATTTATTCATTCATTCCTTAACTCACTCATTCATTCGATAGTAATAATAATAATAGTTTGATTTACAGGTTTCAAACCTAGATGAGAGAAAGGGCAGAGAAAGAAAATTTATAACAAAAAGTTTTTGAAGTTTTCAAATTATTAACAACAACAATAATAATAAAATAATAATAATAAAATTGTAAGATATGATTGGTCAAAATATAACCATCACCCTCACCTTCATAATCATCTCCTTATTGCATCTCTCCATCAATAATTCTCTCGCCTCAGCAGCATCAACAAAAAATGTCGACAATGACGACAATCAACAGTATTCGAAACTCTATAATGACGTAGAAGAAAATGGCGACAATGACGTCACTTTTGAATCGGACAAACGGAAGTGGTCCTCGAATAATATGGGAATGTGGGGAAAGAAGCGATCCGAACTGGACCTCACCCCTAAAAGAGCCTGGTCCTCAAACAAGATGGCCATGTGGGGACGCAAGAAGAAGTCACCAAAGATTGAAAATAACGGCGGCAACGATGATGTCATAAATGACGGAAGCAGCAACGACAATTACCACAATTTGGATGAAAAGGATCTCGGGGAAAATGCGGAAAAGCGAGAATGGGCTTCAAACTACATGGGTATGTGGGGAAAGAAGAGGTCACAAATGATGCCTCCCGACAATCTACACTTCCCATTTTACATCATTTCCGGCAACAAACGGAAGTGGATCGATGCCGGAAGTTGGATGAATCAGCCAGCCATTCAGCAACGTCGAAGCAAATGGGGCTCCGGAAAAATGATGATGTGGGGTAAAAGATCGAAGCAGGGAACCTTCAACAGTGATGATGACGTCATTCCTGCTCCAGATGACGTTTAAAAATGGATATATTTAAATTGCAATTTCATTAATTATAAATTATTAAGCGCTCGATTTTTGAAACTTTTTATAAATTTTCAGACGTAATTGATATTAAAATATCGCAGCAAACCTCATCAGAGTTGTTAATATTATCAAATTGAAATATTATTTGTCAAAATTTATAAAATAATAATAACTACAACAACAATAATAATAACTACAACAACAACAATAATAATAATAATAATTTAAAAAATTAAAAAAATAAAATAAGATAACACGAAAACCTATTGAGGGAATTTTTTTTGTTTAAAAACAAAACACGAACAAACTCAATATTAATAATCATAACCATATTCACCATCACACTCATTAAAAAAAACATCATCATAACCATCATCATCATCACCACATTCGCAAAATCATCATTATGACTATCATCATCATCACATTCGCAAAATCATCATCATAACCATCTTCATCATCCTCATCATCACTTTCATTAAAACATTATCACTTAGTGTTCACAAATTTAAAAGTTATTTTGTAAAATTTTAATTTGCATTTCAACAAAATATACACTGCAAAACTATTGATCCAGGCTAATTACGATTATGATGAAATAATAATTATTCATATATAATAATGATGATAATAATAATAACGATCGTAGTAGAAATGAAATAAATAGTCAGGTGATGTTGGTAATTATATCTGTTAAACCTTTTAGTTAGGGCTTATTCGTTCGTTCATTCGTTCATTCATTCACTTTCAGTTTATCAGTTTCAATCAATCAATCAATCAATCAATCAATCAATCAATCAATCAATCAATTAGCTTATAAAGCGCTATTTCCGCGATGTTCAACAGCGCTCCTCAATGAATTTTGAAAACAGATGGGTCTTGAGATCCGCTCTGAACTTCGCAAGTGATGGAGAAATAGTTAGAGAAGTAGGTAGAGAGTTCCAGAGAAAAGGACCAGAAAAAGCAAAAGCAGATTTGGCAAAAGAGTGTTTAACACGAGTTAAGAAAAAGCGAGAAGAAGAAGACGATCGTAAACCGGGGCGTTTAGGGTCAATTAATATATCTGATAAGTACTTAGGAAATAATTTAGATTGAGACTTATACATGAACATGCAAATTTTAAAAATTATTCTATATTTTATAGGTAGCCAGTGCAAGAGAACAAGATATGGAGATATATGAGAAAAGAAAGGGGCACGAGCAACTAGACGAGCAGCAGAGTTAAAAGCTTTACTTAAAGGATAGAGTATAGAGTCAGGAAGACCATAGTAGAGCGAGTTACAATAATCAATCCTAGATAAGACTAACGAAGTAACAAGAAGGAGAAGAGTAGGATCATCAAGAAAAGGCAAAAGTTTTTTTATTCTACGTAGATGAAAGTAAGAACTTCTAGCAACACTATTAATCTGAGAAGAGAGAGACATAGTAGAATCAAAGATAAAACCTAGACTGCGAAACTTATGAGAGACATCAAGAGTTTTAGAATCAGGTAAGATAATAGGAGGAATAGTAATTGAGTGTTTAGATTTATTAAAACAAATTAATTCAAACTTAGAAGGATTAAGTTTAAGACACATAGAATCAGACCAAGCGATAATCGAAGAAAGACATAGAGATAAATTATGAAGAACACTATTGAGATTAGATGGAGGAAAAGAAGTATAAATATAAGAAATTGCTAAGTAATTAATTCACAAATTTAATTCATCGCCATCTCAGACGTGAATTTGTAACTTGCTTTTGAAAATTTGATGGTTGACGAGTATTATTTTATTTATATTCATTATTATTATTATTTATTATTGTTATTATTAGATATTCTTTCATCAATAACTCTCAGAAAAAATAACAACATTGCGCGCACAATACGGAGATCTTTTTGCGTCATCTTAACTATCAAAGCAGCCATCTCGCCTCAAATAAGTAAAAAAAACTATTCTCATTCTTTCGATTTGAATGCTAAACCATTTAATATTCCTTTCAAGACAAATTTAAATTCCAACAGCCAGAATAATAATTAAAAAATTCTCCGAGATGATTGGTCAGCCGAACAAGAACATCGTCATCGTCACCCTCTCTTTCATCATCTTCTCACCTTTACATCTTTCTCTCCAGCATTCCCTCTCATCGTCAGAGCCAAAATTGGACGCCGAAAACAGCGCGACAGAAGACGGTGACGTCGCAGAGGCAAATTATTTTGAATCAAACAGCAAGATGAGGTCAGGGTCGGAGCCATCCGGTCCAGAAGTCATTCCTAAAGAAGCCTGATAACAATGCACAAACTTCAAGTAACATGAGCCGCGTAGGATGAAGAAACGATCTCTAGAAAAGCCAGCACTCTGGGAGTTTCTCCTCTTTCCAATCCCCGCTATGATCAGCAAGTACCTTTGGAACCATCCGCGGAAATCGGTCAATAATAGCAAACGTAGAGGGAAACTCAGATTCATAGGTTAAAGTTCACAGAGATTGAAATTTACGGTTCATCGCTGGTAGCTGGCTAATTTTATTGATCACAATGAATAAATAAATAAATATTCTGATTATATATTTTAAAATTTATAAACAATAATTCATGCAATCATGTTTAATTACAAAAAGAAAACATGAAAATTTGGCTCAGAAAGATTCTTGCCGATTTAATTCATTAGCATTCTCATTAGCGTGAACTGTGAACATTCGGCACAAACCGATGAAACTTTTTTCTCAAAATGATCACGGCTTGTTTCGTTTTAGTCTATTAGCTAGCTAAATTTTATTTATCACAATAAATTCAAATACATATCTTGATTTACATATCTAAAGAATATCATTTTGAAATATAAAAAAAATATTTATATAAGCAAAAACACGTTTAATTAAAATGAGAAGACGAATATTAACGGAGGGAATGGGAAGTGTCGAGGACTTGCCGCGGAAGGTCATTCATGTCTGGAAAACATTTGATTTTTTACGTTCAAATATCACAAAAAACTTTTAGTCTTGGAAAAAGCAAATTTAGTCAAAACAATGTGTAAAATATGGAGAAAAACTTGAAAAACAGTCTGAAAACTAGAAGCAGAAGTATGAAACATTGAATGCTAATACCTATGAAAATACCGAACAAAATTGGAACGATTTTTGTCCTTGTCCTTGACAAAGAAAGTTTGATCAAAGAGGTAAATATTTTGAATGGTCATTCGTCCAAATCGGCAAGCCATCCTCAACACAAGATACCTTTGCAATTTTTTCTTATTTTACTATTAATATTTTATTGGAATGAATAAAAAAAGTTGGTATTTAAAATTTTTTAAGAAATTAACTTCAATTACGTAGGAGAGAAGTAAACTGAAATAATTATAATAACAGTAATAATAAATTAATGATAATAATAATATTAACATCAATTAATAAATTTGACCAATTCATCTTTTATTATATATATATATATATATACATATATATATATATGACAACGGCGACGAACTCAAAGATAAAAACAACGACTATGATGATTCTGATGGTTCTTTCTATGACGGACACGAACTTATGTAAACAGAAACGGTTATATCGAACCAAATCGAAACGGCTTTCCCGAATCGGAACAAAATGATTATAACGGTATCGTTTACATTAAGCCGAAATAACGGTTATAACGAACCAAAAGCTACAAAATAGTAATAACATCATACTTAAATACGGAACAGTTATTATAACGATCCGACACGAGACGATTACACCGAAGAACCGATACAAAACATCAATACCGACCCGAAAAACGAAACTTAACAACTGGTTTCTCAAAAAACATATATTCTAACAAAAACTTCCCAGAATAAAATCTCAAATGAAGACAAGACTGCAAAAGATGACTACTACACTGATGATGATAAAAATCCGGATTACTTTCCACATATAACAATCGAACACATAAATCGAACAACGTCTATATCAAAACTTTATGAAGAATAAGAAGAAATATTAAGAAAATGAATTGGGAGAGTAAGAAAGATTTGATCTTAATGGAAAAACAAGCCATTATGAGATATGGAGAAGCCTAGAGACGAGTGAAATGTTAAACGTTTTCACGGAGTTCTTAAATGATTTTTATCATTAGTATCTATGATACACTATCTAATTATTGGATAAAAACGACAATAAGGCTAATTTTTTGAGAACTTCAATAAATTAATGACGTAATAAAATTAAATTGGATCAAATTAACTTTAAACTTTCATTAAATTAATTTTTTTAAATTAATGTTAATTAATGACAATATTAATTTGGCGAAATACTTTACTAAGAAACTGTGCAAAAATTATGACGACAATATTAATTATCGCTATTTTTTGTAGAAATCAATTATGAATCATGATTATACATACATGTGTGTGTGTGTGTATGTGCGTGTGTGTCTGAGTGTAACTCATTTTTAAAGAGCAACAGAGCGTACAAATGATGAGAGCTTGAATAAACAATGAACAGATAAGAGAACTAAATAACAAAAAAATTCTACACAAAAGCTGGCTAGGATTTATGAATTTTAAATCAGATTTGTATCAGCCAGTCAGAATCGTTTATTTAAAAACTGACCAGCCAACGAACGATAACTCACATTAGATAAATACGTCACAAAATACATCAATAACGCCCATACGTTCAAAGATATATTAAAAAAACATGTGTATTTAAAAATTCTGCAGCCAATGAGAATGCCGAATTTGAATCATCCAATTTAAATCAATCAATCAATCATTAAATTTAAATCATCCAAGAACTCGAATTTAAATCCTCCAATCAGATGTCACCTCTCTTGGAGTGGTCGGTCTCAATGCCTCCATAGTTCAGTAATGTTTTGTCAGGGTTGTCCTTCCAATCTTCTATTTTTAGCTGCTCGATTGTGATTGGTGGATAATAATTTTATCATCAATTACGTCATTATTTTAATTATATATATATATATATATATATATATATATATATATATGTATATATATATATATGTATATATATATATATATATATATATATATAGTCATCACTACTATCACTATAATCATAACCATCATATTCAACATCATCATCATCACCGCCATCCCAATCATCATTATCATCATCAACATCATTATCATCATTAGCAGCAGCAGCATCATCATCAGCACCGACTTTTCTATTTCGGTGTTTAGTAGTATCGTTGGCTTCCCAAGCTTTCTGGCCACAGTATTTCAGGTAACAACTATTACCACCACAACCCCAGACCTGGTGGTGATGATGGCCTCGGTGTTGATGATGGCCTCGGTGTTGATGATGGCCTCGGTGTTGATGATGATGATGGTTACAAATGAATGAATGAAAGAATGAATGAATGAAAGAATGAATGAATGAAAGAATGAATGAATGAATGAATGAATGATTTATTAAATGAATGAAGAATGAATAATTAAATGAATTAATTGACTAATAATGGTGATGCAAACTAAGATGATTATCATCATCATCATCATCATCCCAATCATAATCACAATCATCATCACAACCATCATCATCATCACCTCAATAGCAGACAGCGTAAACTTCTGCGATAGATACGAAACATTTGAAAAATCTTCATCAATCTCTAAGGTACATCCCTTATTACTTCCGCCTAACTGGACCCCTTTCTTGATCGTTCGATTAGTGAGGTTGAAATAGAGCAGATTTTCTGTGTTGTCTGTTTGTGAACCATCCAATCAATTAATCTTCGAACAGCATTTTAAATCAGTATTTTAAATCAATTCAATATCTAAATCAATTAACAACCAATCAACCAAAAAACAACCAACCAACCAATAAACCAATCAACCAACCAATCAATCAAGTAACCAATCAACCATGCAACATACTTGTGATAATTTTATAAACAGGCGTAAACTGAAGAACGAAGCAATCGTAACTGCCTCTCCTTTGATGACTTTCTCTTTATTATTATCAATATTATTATTATTATATTATTATTATTACTATTATTATTCTTATTACTAAGTTTCAATTTCATTATTTTGACTAGTTTTTATTCAATTTCGATTTCGAAAATAAAAGAGTTTACAATATTATAATTATCACTCACCATCATCTTCATCTTCATTACCATCATCATCACCATCATAACAATCATCATCATTCTACCTACCTCCAATCAACGTCCAGTCCAATAGCCAGTAGATATGACGAGAACTTAATCATCGTAATCGTTGGACCCTGATAGCCTAGAACTTTGTTCGAGAAACTACGATGATAATGATGTTGTTGTTGATGATGATGATGATGATGTTGTTGATAATGATGATGTTGTTGATGATGATGATGTTGTTGATGATGATGTTGTTTTGTTTATAATGATGATGTTGTTGATAATGATAATGTTGTTGATGATATAGATAACAAAAACACCAATCAGAATGCAGATCAACCAAGTTAGCTCCTCCCACAAACTCACCCATTGGCGCTTAAACCTTGAAGGTTACTATTGTACAGAACATGCCAGGCATTCATTTCTAACGCTCTAGACTGCAAATGAATGAATGAGTGGGTGATTGAAAAGTGAATGAATGAATTAACAAATGAATGAATTGGTGAATGAAAACATGAATGGATGAATGAATTCACTGACGAAATTTGAAACTGTTCCAATTTCAGATGAAGGAATGAATGAATGAGGAACGAAGGAGGAGAGAAACCACAATCCAGACAACTTTAACAAGCTATCTCCTGGTAGGTAGCATTCATTTTATTCATTCATTCATTCACACGTACATTCATTCATTCACACGTACATTCATTCATTCACACGTACATTCATTCATTCACACGTACATTCATTCATTCGTTGGTTTGTTCAACAATTATGATAATAATAATAACAATAATAATGAAAATGAACTATTATAATTCACCTTTATTAACTGACTGCCAGAGTTTGCTGTCATTGTTATTAACATTCAGAGAATCTTGTGTCTTTTCTGCCGTCTGTGGTGAATGAACGAATAAATGAATAGATGAATGAATGAACGAACGAACGAATGGGATAAAGAAACAAATACACACACACACACAAACACAGACCTTCTTGACGCTGGTCCTTTTGAGCAACCTGTACAGGACATGGTCATGTAGATCCTTCAAACAATAAGCCTGATGCCTTGCCAGTGCGTTTAACACATGCTCAGTAGTTGCTGGTGGTGTTGCTGGTTTCGAACTGGAAGACAGCTGAATGAATGAATGAAGTAGTGAATGAATGAAATATTGAATGATTGAACGAACTAACTAAATCAACGAGTGATTGAAAAATAGTTGAAAATTTCTTTGCAAAAAAGTTTAAAATAACTCAGCATAATGTTAAACAATGCAAAGCCTGTTGAAACAAGTTTGCACCAATCAGAACAAATTAAAGAATGCAAGTTCATATACTTTTATTCTTATTTGTTCATTTATTCGTTTTTACATTCATTCATTCATTCATGTAGTTATTCATTCATGCAGTCATCCATTAATGCATACATTCATTCACTCACTGTACATGTGTACAGTATTTTTAATTACTCACTTATCACTTGTTTTTTCTTTCATTCATTCATTTATTTATACATTCCTCCATTCATTTATTCATTCATTCACCGTGTGAGATTCATTTAATTCATCATCTTTACTCACTAATGTGCTAATGAACACGTTGAACTGATTATCACATTCAAACGACAACAACGACGATGATGATGACGAAGATGGTGGTGGTACTGATGATGATGATGCTGGCGCTGATGATGATATCTTTGCAATGGTTAGGGAACTCAAAATGGCACATTTTATTAATTTTTCCAAGCCTAGAATTAAAAAATATAAGTTGTAATAATATAAAATGATCAACCAATCAAAAAATTTATTAACCAACCAACCAACGAATTAATCAATCCATATAAACATACACATGCACATACCTACTTCATTGACCATCATTAGAGTAGAGTCACAATTTGATGACGACGAGGACGAAAATGATGATGAAGACGAAAACAAAGACAGATAATATTTCATCTGATCACTGATGGAGCATAGAGAATTTATTTCATTTGACAATTTTAAAAAATTGTACAAATCTATTGGCTGGCCATCTGGTGAAAACTTTTTAAACAGCTGGACACCAAAATCCGGTATTTTTGAGAACAGTTTTGACTGAAGAATTCAGTAACGAAATACATAAAACTAAAATAAAAAATTAATTAATTAAAAAGATAATTACAGCTTGTCTTATATCTAAAAAAATTAAGAACTTTAATCATGACTTTTATCGAAATTGAAATCCCAAAAAAGACTCACTGAAAAATCATTTTCAGTTAGGTACAACTTCTCATCAATGGGTGAATGAGTGGCCTGGGTGATTAATTATTATTAATTATAAAATTAATTATAAAATTATAACTTCTTTAATAAAAGTAAATACGATCATTAGAGTATTATAATAGCATAAAACTAATTCGTAAATTATTATTAACAGATATAAATTTTATACAGATAAAACATATCATCTATAATAGTATAATATAATTTCAGTTGGCATAAGGAATAGCATACTATCTAATCTATCTATAAGCAACAAAACAAATGAACAAGTAACCGGCAAACAACCAATATACCAACATTTTCATTGAATGTTTGAGTAAGGATTGGCACATCCTTTTTGTAATCCTCAAAAATGGAATGTTGGTGTTTCAATGAACTGCTAGTATTATTAGCACTACTATTATTTAGTTGGTTCCCCATTATGAGATTAATTTTTTAATACATATTATTTCTAATTTAAACAACTTTAAAAACTTTTTAATAAAATAACTCAACTATGTTTATTTAATAAATAACAATTTAGTTTTTAAATTAGAAAATTTCATTTAGAATAAAAAAGATGCTAGCTTTTAGTTTTGTAAATCGACAATCGTTTCTAGTTACTTTCATATATTATTAATATAAATAATTTTCGTTTTGTTCATTTTGTTTGTTCTACTCTCCTATATAATTTTGTACTAGTCAACAGACAACCCAGTCAACAATGCGCCCTACAAATTTTTATTTTAGCAACGTCCCTTAATTGAACTAAAGGCTACTCTAATAAATCCTTTCGCAATTTAAAATCCAAATTCGCTATTAGCAGAAATATTATTAGAAAAGCTAGCCTAAATAAAAACATGTTTTGAAACTCCACTTCTAAATTCCATAAAAGTAAACTTATTTTAAAAGTGAACTTTTAACAAATCAATAATCACTATGCTATCGTATACGCACATGTAAAACTGATAAGACACGCTAGAAAAAGCCTAGACTAAGAAATTGTGAGAAACATTAAGTTTTAGAATCAGGCTAGATAACGGAAGGAAAAGCAAGTGTTTAGATTTTTATTATAGAAGATTAATTCAATCTTAGAAGGATAAGATTAAAGACAGTCAGACCAAGCGATAATTTATTGAAGAGGTAGATTATAAAGAAGTTTATTGATATTAGGTAGAAGAAATGAAGTATAAAACCACAAGTATAAGAATCATCGGCATTGTTGACTAGTGAAAGCTCGATTAATAATACGAGGTAGCTCAAAAGTATAGCAGTGAAAACGTTCCACTGGCAGAATACACGAAAATCGGCGCAGCAGTGTGGTTCACACGCAAGAGACCGCTAGTTAAATTTTATGAGGGTCACAATACGAAAAAATCGAACTATAGTACGTAACTCTGAACACTTTATTTTACAAACCCGACGCATGCGAGTAGGGATTGTTTTAAAGTCGACGCGTAAAAACTATATCGTAAACATTATCACATTCGTAAAAACATCGTTTAAACCATCTCCACTATCCCTACATTCGTAAAAACTTCATCATAAAATTCATCTTCACATTTGATAAAAACATAATCATCACATTCGTAAAAACATCATCATAACCGATTCCACCAGCATCACATTCGTAAAACACATCATCATAACCATCATCACATTCGTAAAACATATCACCATAACCATCACATTCGTAAAAACATCATCATAACCATCTTCTCCATTCACATTCGTAAAAATATCACCATAATCACATTCGTAAAAATTCAACTTAACAAAACTCACCATAACATTTGTAAAATCATTATAACCAACTTCATCATCACATTCGTAAAAACATCATTATAGCGATCTCTATTATCATCACATTCGTAAAAACATCACCATAACCACCACCACATTCGTAAAACCATTATCACAACCAGCTTCTCCATCATCACCTTCATAAAAATTCAGCATAACCACTATCACACTCATAAAAACACACAAACATCATAACATTCATAAATACTTATTCTCCTTTGTCACATTCGTAAAAATATCACCATCACCATAACCACATTCGTAAAAATCCAACTTAATCAAACTCACCATAACATTCGTAAAACATCATTATAACCAACTTCATCATCACATTCGTAAAAACATCATTATACATATCCATCTCCGCCACCATCACATTCGCAAAAACAGCTCCAAAACCAACTTTTCTGATCACCACATTCGTAAAAACATCATCATAACTATCTCCACCATCATCACATCCGTAAAAACATCATAGCCAAATTCTCCATCTTCAAATCGCAAAAACATCATAACCACCATCACACTTTCGTAAAAATTCTACATATCCAACATCCCCATCATCACTCATAAAAACATTATCATAGCCATCGTAAAAATATCAAAACATTAATCACATTCGTAAAATCATCATAACCAACTTATCAATCAACAAAAAACAGCGGCCTATGCGGAAAAAACAACCAGCTTAATTTTTATAATAGGTTCACAAAAACTTAAAAATCGAACTATAGAACTGTAGTATAATACAGAACAAACGGTAAGTTACGCTTAAAAACACAATCATAACCATCATCACATTTGTAAAATTATCATCCCAACCAACTTCTTCATCACCACATTTGTAAAAACTTCATCATAACCATCTCCACTATCATCACATCCGTAAAAATATCGACATAACCAATTTCACATTCGTAAAGACATCATCATAACCAACTTCTTCATCATTACAATCGTAAAAATTCAACATAATCATCTGCACATTCGTAAAAACATCATCATAACCAACTTCTCCACCATCACATTCGTAAAAACATCATCATAACCACCTCCTCCATCATCACTCACTTAACCATAACCCATAAAAACTTCATCACAACCATCTTCGCCACAATCACATTCCTAAAAACATCACAGCCAATATCTCCATCATTAGATTCGTAAAAACATCTTCATAACTACAACTTCACCATATCCCATTCGTCACAAACAACTTCGTTCAACAACACCATCATCACATTCGTAAATAATCAACATAACCAACTTCTCCATCTAACACACTCGTAAAAACATCATCTCCGCTATCATCACATCCGTAAAAACATCATCATAACCAACTTCCCTATCATCACATTCGTAAAAACATTCTTTAAAAATTAAACATCACAAAGCTCAAAAAATTTGAAACCACCAACACACTCATAAAAACTTTATAATAACGATCTTCACCATAACATTCGTAGACATAACCATCTCCATCACCACATTCGTAAAAGCAAAATCACAACGCCGTACTTCACAACGGTTAAGTCGACGCGTAAAAACATTATCATGACCATAACATTCGTAACCATCTTCACTATTATGACATTCGTAAAAATTCATTATAACCAATTTCTTCATCACCACATTCGTAAAAACATCATCACAACCATCACCCCATTCGTAAAAATTAAAGATAACCAACTTCACCATAATCACATCCGTAAAAACATCATCAAAACCATCTTCATCATCATTCATAAAAAACATATTTAAAACCATCATTACATTTGTAAAAACATCATCATAACCATCTTCATTATTTACAAAAACATTTAAAACAATCATCACATCCATAAAAACATCATCATAACTACCATCATTGTCAAATTCTTAAAAACATCGTCATCGTCATCACATCTATACAAACATCCTAATCATCTCCATCATCACATTCGCAAAGAAATCATCATGATCATCTTCATCATCATTCCTATCATAAATAACATTATACAAAGAATCAACATTCGATTCAGACACAAAAAACTAACATTCAATTCAATCACAAAGAATCAACATTCGATTCGGACACAAAAATCAACATTCAATTCAATTACAAAGAAACGACATTCGATTCAGATATAATGATACAAAGAATCGACATTCAATTCAAATACAAAAAATCGACACTCGATTCAGATACAAAAAATCAACATTCAATTCAAATACAAAGAATCGACATTCGATTCATAAACAGAGAACCAATATCTGAAACAATAAATTAACATTCAAAACCAAAATTCCATTCATCAATCATCAAACACTTTAAAAACACTATCATAATCATCTTTTTCGTCAACTTTTTTATTTTAGCTCCAATCCTTAATGGCATTTAGAGGATATCTTTCAGCAAAGGTTATGAGCAGTTATAAGGATAGGATATCTTTCTCGAAGAGATTCACTTGATCTAGAAGGATATGCAATGATAATGTTGATCAATCAATCAAATAATTCAACGAATCAGTCGATCACCAACCACCAAACCAATTAAAAAACTAATATTTTAATCAAAATAATGAATCTAAAAACTAATAGATCAATAATGAATAAAACAAAACAACCAATCAATCTCCAATCTGTCAAGTCAACTAATCATAATCAATCAATTCATAAAACCCACATTTTTCCAACTCACCAATCCTGATTAGCTGTTTGGTTATTTTGTTTCTAGTGCCTACCAAATTAGCTGACTGGTGTATCATGAACTTCAGGTAGGACCTTTTTCAGATAATGTGTTGGTGGTCGTTTATGCTGTTGACAAGATATTCTTCATCTTCAGGACATATCAAAATTTATATTAATGTACTATAATATCCACAAAAGACAAATAAAATACATGCATGCACCAGCATTCAATCTGCTTTTATGAATCTTACATAACATACACTCAAAAGTAATGTTATACTTATTATTAATAACATTATTTAATTATTATCCTTTGAAACAAATTTATTATTTAGACATACAACACTTTTACAGGTGATTCAAGTTTTTGCAGCAACCTTAGATGATGAAAATTCCCCATAAAAACAACTGAAGATTAACATTAAAACAACACTGGAATGTTCTGAGGGGATTACAAAAAAGCTGAAAAAATGAAAATGATAATAAAAAAGGTTGAGATTAAATTAAAAATGATTTAAGACCATAAGACTTAAACTTAGTTTTAAACTTAGTCTTATGTTATGATTTGAACATAAGTCTTATGTTAATCAATGATAAGCTGCTAAAAAAAACTCAAGCCTAAGTTGTACAATATAAATAAGACTTATTTAACTTAACCTTAACCCAAATCATATAAAAATAGAAATTTAAAAGAGCGCAATTCTTTACAAAAAGGCATTTTTATTATAATTATTATTATTTATTATGACAAATTATTTTAAATTCATCTAGGCGGTAATCATCGCCAAATTAAAAAAACTGCCGCTGATTCTTCAAATGCGCTAAATCTAAATCTAACTAAATTCACACTCAAAATTCTACACTTCTATATTATCCATATTAAATTGAACAAAACATCAAATCAAGTCGCTAAATAATAAAAATTTAATTAGTTTGACAAAAATGGCGACGAACACTCATGGCGAATTTTAAAAACCTTAAATTAAACTTTGAAATAAAATCAAAAAATTTTCATTCTCAAACTACAGTAAATCAACAAAATTCAAATTACAATTAATATCTCAGCTTAATTTAATGAAAAAAAGTATTAAATAGCAGATTCTTTTTGAAAAACCATGGCGGCAAAAGCAGACGTCAAGCGGCAAACGAAGAAACGAAGTAAAGTAACTTTGTAGAAAAACGTGCCAAGCGGAGGACGAGACGGCTTCTTGGCGGCTTATTATATATTGTGATGTCAAGCGTGCAAAAAATTATTTCTTTTCTGCTAAAGCGCTTCGTTTATAACCGTTGAAAAGTCTTATTTGAATTTGAAAATGACGATGAACGTTTTTATTAAATACATATATGAGTGATCAATTGTGTATTTTGTCATAATATTTTAACTTTGATAGAAAATTTGGTCTTTAGAAAGAATTTTAATTTTTATATATTTTTTCATTGCTTTTTTAATAAAATAATTTAAATGGCTTAATTTTCCTCGCCCTTTTTTAATTTATCTGGTTTTTCTTAAGAATAAAGAAAATTTCGGCTAACTTATGGCTTCGAATCGGAAAAATAATTAGTTTTTTTTATATAACAGTGCATAAATTCTTACTTTGAAGTTAACAATCTAAGCTCAGCAGTGGTGCATTTTGATTGATCATTTGATTAGTTGATTCTTTATTATACGCTGAAAACCAATTTTTTGTTCAATGGATTATTAACTAAATACATATGTTAAAATGATTTTATTATAAAATTCACAAATTTATTACACTACATGCAAAAAGAATTATTTTTAATAAAATAATTTAAATGGCTTAATTTTCCTCGCCCTTTTTTAATTTATCTGGTTTTTCTTAAGAATAAAGAAAATTTCGGCTAACTTATGGCTTCGAATCGGAAAAATAATTAGTTTTTTTTATATAACAGTGCATAAATTCTTACTTTGAAGTTAACAATCTAAGCTCAGCAGTGGTGCATTTTGATTGATCATTTGATTAGTTGATTCTTTATTATACGCTGAAAACCAATTTTTTGTTCAATGGATTATTAACTAAATACATATGTTAAAATGATTTTATTATAAAATTCACAAATTTATTACACTACATGCAAAAACTTTGGTTGAAACTTTAGTTGTACGAATAAAGGTAATAAAATTATGCGCAATGAGGTGTGTTAAGCAATGGTTACAAAATTCGTTTCTAACTACGCAATTTGCTCGTCTTAATATGTTTGTAAATCGAAATAAAGTTAGTTTTCCGTTTACCTGTTAATTTTTTCTTCTACTTTTAGTTGGCTGTTGTTTGTTCCGGCTGCTTTTTGCTCTTCATATGATCGCGTTTATTTTTTGTGTAGTAACTTTAACTAACTTTATCAAGAACGTACGTAATTCGTTTAATTTGTTAACAAGTGCAGTCATTTTGACTACAAATTCATGATCACAAAAGTTTGTTGCACTGTTGTTACTATTACTGTTACTATTTATTTGTTGTTGTTGTCGTTCATTCGATCATTTTTCCGATCTCAACTTGTTTCCTCTTTCTACTACTGCTGCTATAATTAAAGCTGCTGCAGCTACTACTAGTGCTACTATTATGCTTGAATTACTTAGTAAAAGTTAATAAAGGAAACAATTGTTATATTCTTGCACTTACGTTTCAGTACAACACAAAAAACAACAACAATAAAAGATGTCAATAAATAAATATCTGATATAAATATTTTAATCATCGTGCTTTATTCATTCGTTTATTTATTTTCTGTACAAAAAAAGCATAAACTAGCAATAATAATATCAAACTGTTTTGCACGAGTGCCAACTAACCAATCAAAACCCTCTCAAACCGTTAGCCAGAACACCAACAGACCAATCAAATTAGCAACATTAACATAACTTTGTCGATCAAATTTGTCAAACCAATTTGCTCCTTACGAAATTAATAATTAATTTCTATAATAATAAAAAAATTGACTACTATTAAATTGAAAATTATAAATTACATTAATTATTAATAATTGATTAATTATGACATCATCGATTCTTCATGTTTGGCCATCCAATCAGGATCTAGAGTCCTTATTTTTTCGACTACTTCATTAACCTGCACGCACAAGCTTTGGATTTGCTTGTCCCAGCATGGTAATGCGTCGTGGACTGAATAATTATGAATAAGTGAATTATGAATGAATGAATTATGAATTTAAATTTTTTAAATGAATTACGGATTGAGAGTTTAATAGTAGATGTAGCCTAAGACATTTAGAATTAAAGAATGAAATACAAAATCATTGACGGCGATTCGATATTGAATGGCGAATTATGAATTATTGCCAAATTAATGAATTGTGAATTAATGAATTATGGCTGAATATGAAATTATAATTCTTAGTTAAAACTTAAAGATTGCATACCTTCAAAATGTACAAAGGAATCTATCTGATCGATATAGCCATTCATACGGCCCTCACTGATCATCTGGGAGGCAATCTTTTCAGCCTGTTTAAAAAAATTATAAAATCAATAATCATTATAATTAAAAATTATAATCAATAATTATAATTAATAATAATAATTAATAATTATTAATAATAATAACCTTTTTAGAAGGAATTTCTAGTAAAGTGCCAAGCTCTTGAAATGAGATGTTGTTGTAGAGCTTACTGGCTGACAACATGCTGTGCTCTATAACGGCCCTCTCTAATATTGTAGTACCTTTGGCGACAGTTATAAAGGTGATAATAATAATACTAATAGGAAAATTTAATTAATAATAATAATAATAATAATAATAATAATAATAATAATGATGATGATAATAACAGAAATAATGTACTATGTGGAAAATGATAAATTCCCGTGGTGATGTTGTTAAATCAATAATGATAACGAAATCCGACCATAGTCATCAAAATCATCCTTAACATCATCGTCATCACCGTCATCATCATCATTATTATAACTCTCACCATCGGCAGTGACGGCTTTCTGGTGAGCTTGCAATAGACTAGAGAACTCATCCAATTCACTATTGCGTATGATACGATCTAAATACCTGTACATTAATGTGAGTGTGTGTTTGCTTGTGTGTGTGTGTTTGCTTGTGTGTGTGTGTGTGTGTTTGCATCACTGCAGAAACAACAACATAGTAAACAACACAAACAGCAACGTAAATGTAAACAAAAACAACAACATGAGCAACAACAATGTGAACACCAACCTAAGTCACAACAAAAAACAAAAAAAAAACCAACATCTTCTCAAGAATATTAAATGCTGGTAGCTGTTGGCATCTCTCGTCCTTAAACAAGGTTGCCAACATTCGAGATCTTTGCTGGCCTTAATCAAAAAATTCTAAATAATTAATTGGCCATAAAATCAAAAGATTATAAAACAATTAAGGTCATACATACACAAACAAAAACACCCATATAAACAAACACACCCACACGCACACACAAACACACAAAACAAACAGAAAATAAGCACACACGTGGATCTACAAGGCATTCTTCAGGGCAGCCAGTAAACTCTGAAAAGATAGACAGACAGACAGAAAGACAGACAGACAAACGCACATACACACAAACGCACATACCCGCAGATGCAAGAATAGTACATATCAGAGCATTTTTAAGAGCGGTCATTTTTTCATCTTCAGCTACACAGTTCTTGAAAGAGAGCTCGTTGTACCTCTGGGCAGCCTCGATGAATTTTCTCCTGTAGTCCAACACACGGGCATAACAAGCCTAAATTATAATTTGGGCATGAAAATATCATGAGAAAATGATTGAGTTATGGTTAATTTGTGATAACATTGTGATTAAATTATAAGTCACACAACTTTTTCACAAAGATTGACATGAATGAACCATGCAAATTAGCAGTCAAACAACTTTCTTCCAAAAATCTACATTCCATAAATGCGCCAGCTTTCTTTAGAAGATTCATAAAAGTATTTGTAAATGAATTATGCTAATTTGTGGCTAGCTAAGCAAACAAACACGACCTTGTAATGAATCTGAAGAGCTTCAGATGTTGACTCGGCCTGGAGTATGGAAGCCCTATTAATGTAGGCTTCTGCCTGTACTGGGTCCTCGTCTTCCAGGTACAAGCGCGCCACCTTCAGGTACGTCTCCAGTTTGTAATCATTCGAATACTGCCTAATTTTAAGAAAAATTTGGAAGTGATGTAATAAAATTTATAAAAAGTGTAAGTAATTAACATACAGATTATGCCACAATTATAACAATGATAATTTTTGAAAATGAAAAGTTGAAAAAAGTAAATAAAATAAAACTTTCAAACTTCTGAGCAGTTTCCAGAGGAATGCCAACGAGTATCTTGGCTGCCTCTTTCCAATTCTGCTCTTTCTCATATAAAGCAGCTAGCTTCTGTCTTATTAAACCAGTCTGATCATGATGATGGTGATTGTGATGGTGATAATGATAGTAATGTCGATGATAAACATTTTCGGTTATTTAAAAAACAAATTTTAAAAAAATTTTAAATTTAAATATCCTTGGGATTAGAATGTTTTATTTATAGACCTGTTCCTCGAATGAGACAACCCTGGGTTGTACTTTATCAAGGGTGTAGTGAGCTATTTCTTTGCTGATCTCATCAGGAAGATTGTTAAGCTGGTTGCAAAATTCAGATAAAATTTGTCTGGAAATGACAAGGCTTACATTTTCGTTTGATACTGAGGGTATGTGGTGTGGTGAATATGATTATTTAATTAATTAATAATAAAATTTATTAATAGTAATTAATTAATTAACTAAATTAATTATTTATTTATTCATTTATTTATATTCATTAATTTATTTATTTATTCACTAATCAAATAAATAAATTTTTATTAATTTAATTTGAAAATGGTCATAGACAATTAAGATTAACCAATTAAATTAACGTAAATTAATTTTTTATATCTTTAAAATATTTATTTTAAAAAATAATAATAATCACAATAATTATAAAAATAAAAAAATAAAGAATAAATTCTAATGAAATTTTTTAAAAATACTAAAGAACCAAAATGAATTTATAAAAAAACAAAATATAACCCACTGGCATCAATGAATCCCTTCAAGTTCTTCACTACTTCATTTTCATCTTCTTGGGCTTGCATGAGAATATTCTGTAAAATCTGCCTGTACCTTTTTTAAATAAAAATACAATTAAATTAATTAATATTAAAGTGAAAATGAATTTTCTGACCAGATTAAAAAAACAAAGCCTGTTAAAATCCTAAGCCTAATAAAATAAAATTGAGATTTTAAATTTTAATTTAAATTAATATTAATAAAATTAATTTAAAGACAAAAAAGAGACAACAGAAAGTTAAAATATATATAAATAAATTTATATATAAAATTATAAAATAAATAAATTAAATAATAAAAATTTTTAAATATCTAAATAAACTTTTCGGTTTTTTCTTTTTGAGAAACGTTGCCTAGTGGCAATCCGCCCAAACTTAGCTGTTTCACCGAATTCGACATTTTAATTTAATTAATTCAATTTAATCAATTTAATAAAGTTATTGGTTAATCGTTCGGTCGTTTACTAAACAAGATTTATTTAAAAGTAAACCAGCACTGATAATTGCATATAAATAGAATTGATCACAAATAAGGTCGGCTATATGTACCATGATATGTACGCCAGAAAAAAGTACTTGATAAACATAAATATTGTTTGGAGGGTTGAAATAAATTAAATAAAAAAATAATTAAAATAATTAAAATCTTTTAAAAATGAATAAATGTTTATAGATAAACTATAAAAATGTAGAAATTGTAAAATTTGATAAGTTTGATGAACAATTTCTCATGAAAATTGAAGAATGGGACCAGATTCTTAAGCGCACTAAAAATGTGCGCGATGCGTTTGAGGGCCAGGTTAGGTATTCCGTAGAAATTGTCGATATATGACGCAACCTGAATCGACCAAACAGTTATCATATATTTGTATATTTTATTCCATATATATATATATATGTGTGGTTATCATTGTTACTGAACGCCCGCTGTAGTTAGATACTTATGCACTGTGGTGCTGATATAGGGAATCAAGCTGATAGTTTACCAGATTCATAGCCTCATAGTAATCAGTAATCGTGCCGAAAAATTAAAAACACACGTAAGCATCCTATATGCATTTAACTAAACAAAGATTGAAATTTTTATTGATACCAAAAGAAAACGCAGTCACATCCATAAAAAAGACTGAGAAAAAACTAAGAAAGAACTAAAGATAAACAAGTCAAATATCAAGATCATCATCTGGGTCCTCTTCATCCAGATTATCAAACTCATCAGGTACATATTCGATTTTTCCCTTGACCTCATTAGCGGTTGAAATATACGGTAATACTAGTTTATTTTTGGCTTCTAATTCACTTGATTTCAACTTCAAATTGAAAGTCGTCTGAAAATCTGTGAAGTCATCTTTCAAAACTGGTTTGCTTTCATTTTTAACTAGCTCTGTAACAACGCTAACTTCGTAATTATCCGATATTCGTATGTTTTCAGTAACTTTTTTGATAGAGTTGCCCAGCGGTTTGTGGTACATCATGCATGACACATACGTATCTTTGGAGGCAGATGCTGCCAGCTCTATTATTGTATCAAAAAGATACTCTAATCGTTTTACTGTCCCAATATCATTCAAAACATCTGAATGTATTAACGAGATAAGCTTCGTTTCGTGCTCCGATTTTACCAATCTCACAAACTGACATGTTTCACTCATTCCTTTGAATTGAACCAATCTAAGCAAGTTGTCCACTATTAAAAATCGCGGTTTTTCGGATTTTGTTAACTTTGGAAAATCAATTATCGGATGTTCATTATCCCAACCGAGCCAGTTCTTGGAAAAATCGAATACGGTTATGTTGGGAACGTTTACGAGATCTCTGGACAGAGATGGGTCGTCGTAGCAGTAGAAAGAAATCTCGTAATTACAGATCTTTTTCAGCAAACACCTTGCTAGACAAACTCCACTCGTTCCTAATTGGTCCCAGATTAAAACGGTTCTGCCAAAATTGCATTCACGTAACACACCCGACAACATCGCTACGCTATATAACTCACGTCATAAACGCAAAACAAATTTTATTTTCGCTCGCCAACCATAGAAACAGAAAAAAAACACAAAGACAATTAATAAAACACTTTATTGATACAAGTTTTAAAGCAGTCTACCAGCTGAACAGTCACCAGTGAAAATCGAATATACAAAGTAACATTTCCCGAAATCAACTGAGCTTGCGACGAAGCTACCAGCGGGGGCCACCTGCAGACGTTGAAATAAGCAACTTTCAAACGTACGTATCAGAAAATAATGTTAAACAAGAATTAGACACAAACGAATTCGGTAAAAATAAAGCAAGGCGGCAACTTGGGTTATGCCAACAAACCTCTGTATGATCTATAATCCGGGCCTCTGTCATATCTCGCGTAGTCTGAGTCTGTGAACAATAAAAAAAAAAACAAAAAATTCGTCACAAAATTTTTCGGAATATCACAAAACTGTAACACAAAAGCAGGAATATTAAATAAAAAAATTAATCATCCACATAGTGACCTTCATATCTTCTTTTTCTATCCCTATCATAGTCATCAGGACCCATCCTCTTGTTATCATAACCTCTTCTTGAATCTGAATAATCTAAACCAAACAATTCAATCGTGCAAATAAATACAAACAAATGAAAAGCTGAATAAAACTATTTAAAAGTAATAAAAATAAATAATATAAAATGAAACGAAGGTCATCAAAAAGGTCAAGAAAATTTCCACCCCCAACAAGAATCACAATTTTTAACTTTTAGAAAGCCATACCAAAGAATATAGAATAACATGGGCGCGAATTTTGTGACCTACCTCCTCCAGTTGCATATCTATCTCTGGGTCTGGATTCCATGTATGAAGATCTTCCGCCATCCCTATCATGGTAGTCATAACGATTCGTCTCGATGGGCAACTTGTTTCTAATTAATATTTGAAGAGCATTCAATTTCAATAAACAAACATGCTTCTTTCGACACTATATAAACACGCACATTAAAAAAACACCATTAACACCACAAAAAACTAACGAGAGGACTCCAACGAGATGTTGCAATTGATTGACAAGATCATCTGAATTCGCTCCGCCCCTTCTGGAAGGTCCACTGTAATTGGATGATCCTCCTCTGTAAGAGCCACGACCCCTAAAATTCGGCACATTACAATAAATAAAATAAAGTGAGTAAATACTAACAAACTAACAAGCAAACATATTAAATCTTAAGAAATAAGACAAATAAAATTAGTACCAGTTTAAAACACCAGAAAATAAGTTATATAAACTATATTTTATAACATCAAATAATTGCTTCTGACCTTCTTTGTGGGGGTGAAAATCTTCTTGACCTTATTGGTGACCTCTTTCGACTTGTACTCCTTTTCCTGGAATCACTGTGTGCAGTGCGTTCTTTTTCACGTTCTTGTTCCTTTTCCTCTTTTTCAGGATCCAGTTGGAACTGTTCCTCTTCTAGGATCGGTATCCCTAATTCCTGACGTTTAACATTATCCGTCACAATCCTCTTCTTGTAACGATAGAGTTTCTAGTTTAAAAGTGAAAAATTATGAATAAATTGTTGGTCAAAATGTGAATTAATCATATTGTTAATAAAAAATAATAGCACATTTGTTTACCTGTTCCATGTCAGTAATTTCTTTAGCTGATTTTTTTTCTTTGTTGGTAGATTCCAACGTTTTAATCTGATCCAACCAATACTGTCTCAAGCTATCCTTTAATAATCCTGTGAGATTAACAAAGTTAATAGAAAATAATTTAGAAATTGTCACCAGTAAACATAAAAATCTTGATATTTATATGAATAGCAAATGAATTGCTGCTAATTACATATGAGCATATTAATTAATGAACAAACCTGTAGCCTCCTTCTTTTCATTCATGGCCTTAATGACAAAGAGGCGCCTGTCATTGAACATCGCATCTTTGGTTCTTTCCAGAGCGGCCTTCATGGCCTCATCAGAGCCAAATTCAATGTAGGCGTGCCTGTTCACATAAATATTGCATAGGTTCTTTAAGATGCAAAAAAAAAATTTTTCCTAAAAATCGAAAATTATAAAAATGATAAATAACTAGATAATTTAAAATATTTCTAAAGAGAATAGTATAAGCAAAACGATAGTCTTTTATAATGAAATTTAGTGTCTGCCGTGAAAAACCTCCCCCAGTGACATCACTCTGCAAATCCTTATTCGATCTTCTTAGTTTTAATCCAACAGCATAATTTTAAAAACTTAAATATTTCAAGCTGTCCAATCATATAAGAATACATATACATTCTAAATTTCATTTGTAATCTTTGTAATTTATTTTTTTTATTATTCGCTTCGCTTTTAATAGTCCAAAGACATTGAATTACCCAAGAACACGTTCATCTTTAGTAAGTAAGACAATGCGAGAACAATCCGGAAAGAAGTTATTCTTCAACTCTTTCTCCAGAGTAGCACCATCAGCAGTACTTTCTTCAGTTGTGTTGTAGAAATTCGACACGAACAAAAGTCTTTCAGGTAAGAAATCTGAAATTTATCATGTTAGAGAATATTCGTGATTTTTGGTTTTGTTTAAATTTAATAGGTAAACAAATGATTCGGAAATTCTTGAGAAGATAATCATATCCTCTTTCCTTAGTAATAACTTTACACCACCATCCTTCCAGAAACTGTTGATTATGTTGAACTTTTTGGATATTTCTTTCGAACTATTTGTATAATCTAGCGTATATCTAAATTTTTGTTATATTACCACAACACATACACATAGAATACATAAAAAAATACAAAATGCACAAACAGAACAAAATACACAGATCCAAGTAGCACATTATTGTACAACAATGAAATACCTTTTGGTGCAACCTTGCCTTTCACTTTTGACAGAATATGACCTGATAGTTTAGAAAATATAAAAGTTATAATAATCAAGTATAGTCAATTAATTTTAATTGCTAAAATAAGAATTAGGTTTCAATATATTATACAAAATTATTAGTATATTTTCATATCATGATCATATAAAATTTCACTTCTTTACTATTAGTATTAACAGACATAAACTTAAGGATAAGACATACATTAAAAATTATGTAAACCTATAGATGTAAAAATATACTCTATCTCCATGCACCAATAGAATAGCAAAGTAACAGTAATGCAGGTCATATTAAAAACTGAACAAAAATTAACACATCACAAAAATATGAAAACACAAACATTATAAATGCAAAATGTCTAAAAGATTCAAACATTTGAAAACAATAAAAGGGCCCTTAATTTTAAAAGTTAAAAGAGTAAAACCTTCAGAATCATTCTCAGAGAAATGTTGAACATGCACTGTCCTCTCCTCAGTTGACAGTGACTTTAGTGCTTCTGTAGCTAGCTTAATATCAGAAAGTGTTAGGAATTTCATGCGTAGGTACCTGTCAGATAACAAAATATAGAAACAATTTACAATTTGTAATAACCATTAGTTTGCTATCTTTCATTTTAATTATTACACAACAATTATTATTTACCAATTAATATTAACTTCATTGCTTTATTATTAAACTTTTAACCACTCAATCATGAAGTCAACCCCAACAATGAAAAAATGAATTAAGAAAGTCTCAAGACAATACTCAAACTTTAATTTCATCAAATTATAACAACTCCAAAAGTAAGCCACACATATTAAAAAGATGAAAACAATAATCTGCCAAAGAGATGCAAAACGCCCAACCCTTTGATAGGCAGTCCTTCACTTGTCTCGTCCATCTCCATTGATACGTTGACAGCTGATCTGATGAGTGGGGAAAGATTTTCATTGAAAATATCCTCCACTAAGATAGGATAGGCAATTATGTTCAGCTGACGGTTGAATACCTTCATATCTATGGTAATTATTGGGTTGAATAGTTTCATATCTATTGGTAATTATTGTTATTGATATTATCAAGATAATCTTTAAAATAATTATTGTTGTTGAATAAATGCATACACGGGTGCAAATACTCTCTCTCACGCTCTCACTCAAGCACACACACACACACAAACACATGCATACAACAAACCTCTTAATATTTCTTCCTTGCATGGTACCAATATTTTATCCCCATTCCACACTAATGATATCTGATCCTCTGTTAATAATTGAAATTACTATATTAATATTACATACACAATGATATAATTATTATAAATTAATATTATCATTACAAAAAAAAGTATTATATAAAATATTTTGTAATAAAATATGAAATAACAATAGAAATAGAATGTCAAACAATATTTGTGTGTAAATATGTATGCATAAATGTATACTGCACCATACAAATTAAACGTTTGTTCATTTGTTTATATGTATATTTGTATTTATATGTATCATACTTACTATCTTTAACCATTTCTACGGAGAACTTGACATCACTTTCTTGTTGACTGGAAGATTTGTTATTCGAAGCTTTCTTTTCGTCTTCACCTGGTTCATCTGCATCTGTGGAAGTTGTGATGAAATATGTCATGAATTTTATTATACTATTTTTTAAGTAAATAAATACAATTCGATTTAAAATATGAATAATAACTATTATAATAAGCTATAATTTTGAGTTTATAAAATTTAATTCAATGATTTAATAAATGCCTTTTAAATGTACAGAGATATAATAAACAAGAAGAAAAGAAAATAAAACTATAAAAATTATCACCCTACATAAAATTGAAATTTGCAATACTTATCATGAAAACTTATAATTATTAGCAACACAAACCATCAGCCCAGACAACAAATTCATTATCTTCCTCCTTCTCTCCATCACCAGTTCTATCATTGTCATCAGCATTCTCTTCTAGATGATTGCCATTCTTGAAATGTTCGTCATCGTTATGGTGCTCTTGATATTCATCCTCGTCATCAAGATTGGCCGACTGATTCATATCGTTGTTCGGATCTTCTTCCTGATTATCTGAGCGGATCAAACGGCGAATTAAATTAGGTGTGGGATTTTTGTTTCTGCTTGAGTAGTGGTTGACATTGTTCATTTGTTTTTATATTAAGATAAAAATTTCTAGTGTAAAATCATTTCCTAATATTTTTAAGTAATAAAATAAAATACTAAATATAGTTAATAGTAAAAAGTAAATAGTAAAGTAACTGGACATAACAGGCACCTTCTCTGGCAATCATCTCATCATACGCCAAATCTTCTTTTGATCTTTCGTCCCACTGGTCATTATCCAACGTATCTTCAGACATTTTCTGAGATTCCTTCTAAAATCTGAGTATTAGAGATAAAAAATTAAGGCAAAACTCAAAATTTGTAGTATTTTTCAACTTTGAATACGGTTTAAAAAATATCAAATCAATAGTTCCCCAGTATAACTACAAGGTGTAAATTATTTAATAAAGGCAAACGCATTGTTTATCAGCAGTGTCACTACTATATTGCTGGAGAAAAACAAAAATTTAACTGGGAAATTTCAGAACTCGTGAACAAAAAATTCGAAAAGAACTAACCAGATTTATTAAAAAATGAAGTACAATCGACAACTTGATGTAAAACAAATCTAATTTAGACAACGAACGTGCGATTAATTTAAAAGAGTCAGATAAAATTAATAAATTAATATGAACGCCAGGCGATACTTTGGCGAAGAACTAGCATAGAAAACAAAACTTGATAACAATCAATTTCACAAACAACGACCTAAAAATGCCGGTTTTTGTAATAATGAAATATTAATTTTACAGATTTTATTCCTTTATTCATTCAAATTCATTTAAAAATTTAAAGCAATTTTACTGCTAAATAAAATTTTTTTAAAAATATTATAACAAATCGTAACAATGAAAACATTCTGTGAATAGAAATTATTTCTAAATGTCCATTGATCAAGTAACCAAGCACATTTTGATTCTAATATATGATAAATTCATGAATATATATTATATATATATTATATATATATATATATCCATGGATAAATTATCAAATGTTTGAACAACGTATACATTTATGTGTATGTGAACGTAAGTGGCGGATTCTATTGAATCATCGGATTCAATGACACTGTAAAAATCATTTATACACACACACACACATACATACATACATACATACATACATACATACATACATACATACATACATACATACATACATACATACATACATACATACATACATACATACATACATACATACATACATACATACATACATACATACATACATACATACATACATTTGCGAGTCTGTGTTACCGAAAATGTTCAATTAAACGCCGACGTGAGCGAATAACGAGATATCAATTGTTAACCTATTTTTTCAGATGTTTGATTGTTTAGTGTCACTCATCGCTGATTTGGTTTTAACATACATACATACATACATACATACATACATACATACATACATACATACATACATACATACATACATACATACACACATACATACATACATACATACACAGAAACATACAAACAAACATACAAACATACAAACAAACAAACATACATACCTACGTCGTACATCGTCATCATTCTAATCATCAACCTGATGGTTTCCTTAAACTGACTGCGACACATAAATAATTTAATAAGCCAATCATTCATTGAATGCTCATATATTGGGATGGATGGGACACACAGACACATACACACACACACACACACACACCATATCCACACATAATATATATATATACAACAACAACACACGTTTAGACGACATTTTCCCCGAGATCGGGGGTTGCTGTTTGGCTACCTATGATGAAACCGAAATACCCCTCGACGCCATCCACATCTGTCACTCGCCTCAGTATCACGCAACCCCGCTTTCACCCTGTCCTTCTCCACTTGCTCTCTTCATCCCAATCGCGGACGACCCCTTCCTACCACTCCTTCAACCTCGAACTCCAACGCTCGCCTAATCCCGACCATTTCATCCCTTCTCAACACATGTCCATACCACCGCAATCTCGATCTCCTTATCAATGTCACAATGTCCTCATTCAGTCCCATCATTGACATCAGCTCTGTACTACTCCTCCTATTCTTCACTTTAACTCCACACATCATCCTCACCATAGCTCTTTCAGCCCTCTGCAGTACACTTTCCTCCTCTCTCCTCAACACCCAAGTTTCACCACCATATACCATCGCTGCTTCCACACATGCTTTATATACCCTCCCTTTCATCTTCACTGACCATTTCTTTCCACACAATACCCCACCCAGTTCCCTAAATTTCATCCATCCTACACGAACTCTAGCCGTAACTGCGCTCAAACATCCTCCATCCGCGTTTAGCTTATCCCCTAAGTAAACAAAGCTTTCCACTCTTTTAATACCACCACTCAACCCCGTCCTTGCGTCCGTCCTATTAATCACACCATGAACACATTTCTTACATTTGAACGTGCCTTCCACCTTTTTCAGTGCCCCCCTCACACCACTACATCTCTTATACACCCATTTCTGACATCCTATACACAATACAGAGTTAGCCTTCACTCTCCTGTCACATACCCCACAGGGGTCTACTTTACTTATCACCACTCGCTCCCCACCTTCCCCACTCACCATTACCTTCGTCTTACCAATAGTAACTTTTAACCCTTTCTTTTCAATAACACTTTTCCATCTGTCAAATTTTAACTGCAATTCTTCCATGCTATCAGCCATCAAGACTAAATCATCTGCATACAAAATCTCAAATAACAACCCCTCCATTATGTTTCCACACACAACATCCATCACAATTGCAAACAGAAACGGTGATAACACTGATCCTTGATGCACTCCTACCTTAACACTAAAAGCGTCCGACATCCCCCTTCCAACCCTCACCTTTGTCTTTGCCCCTTCATACAGCTGCATCACAGCTTTAACAAGTCTCTCATTCACTCCTTTCTTCCCCAACGCCCATTCAATGACCTTCCTCGGAACTCGATCAAAAGCCTTTACTAGATCCACAAAACACATGTACAATCTTCGTTTCTTCTTTCTATAATTCTCCTGCAACATTCTCACCATGAACAACGCATCCAACGTTCCCCTACCAGGCATAAATCCACACTGCATTTCATTAACTGTCACCATATTTCTCAAACTCCTCTCAAGCACCCTCTCCACTACCTTCATTCCGTGCTCTAGCAATTTCATACCCCTATATGACCCACAATCTCTCACATCTCCTTTGCCCTTATACAACAACACCAACACACTGTGTCGCCAGTCCTCAGGTATACCTTCATCATCAAACATACTGTTAGCAATTTTCTTCATAACTTCAATTCCTATCACCTCACTCGCTTTTATATGTTCTGCCGCCACTTCCGAAACCCCTGTCGCCTTACCTAGTTTCATTTCTCTAACTGCTTTCTCTACTTCCTACATCGTCACTTTCTCTATAGGTCCGTGTGTGACCGCGGATTCCACATCTCCATCCCACTCATTCTCTTCATTCATCAACCTTTCCATATGAGCTTATATATATATATATATATATATATATATATATATATATATATATATATATATATATATATATATATATATATATATATATATATAAAAAAACATATATATATATATATATATA